GAGAGCTGAACACGATGCCCACTTTGTTCATCCTTCTGTCCCTTCCCCCACTTCCTAGATGGGTGATCTACAACGACCAGAAAGTGTGTGCCTCCGAAAAGCCCCCCAAGGACCTGGGTTACATCTACTTCTACCAGAGAGTGGTCAGCTAAGAGGCTGCCCTCAGCCCTTACCACTTCGGGCAGGGGACAGACCATCTGGCATGAGCAGCAGGGTTTGGGGGATGGACCTCAGCCCCCTGCTCTGTACCCTTTTTCTTTTTGTCCCCAGCAGCCGGAAAGAGCTGGAGGCCATGGGAGAATGGCCAAGCAAAGAGGAGGGGTACTCAGTAGACTTTGGGGATAGAGCAGGGGTGGGACAGGAAGGGGCCAACTGCCTGTCCACAATGGGACCTTGTTGCTTCCTTCCCTTGCCCCTGGAATCCACAGTGCTCTGCTTCTCTGTGATGGCCCAGCCCCTGCAGTGGGGAGGGGTCTTATCTGTGTGTGCGTGGGTGTGGCTTTATGCATCCTTCCAGGGGAGGGAGCGACTGTGCCTCCCCTCCCCTTATGTGTTTGCTCCCTTGTGGTTGGGCAAAGAAGGATATGAGGGAAATAGGAACACCTCCCCCCTTTGCCCTTCTGCCTCAGCCTCCCGTTCCGTCTCTTCGGTCCTCTGGAAAAATGCCAAAACACATGATGTGAATAAAAGGACAAAGACTGGCTGGTTTTGTTTAGTTCTTTAGAGGGAAAATTACTGGAGCGGGGCAGGTTCAGAGAGGCCCAACTGGGGTCCTTTGCCCTGCCTCCACCGCTAGGCAATTCTGTCTCTACTTCTAGAAGTGCTCAGAAAACTGAGTTGGGGAAGTGGAATAAAGGGAGAATCCAGAAGAGTGGCTGCATCCCCCCACTACTGACCATGTAATTGGTCTAGCCCCATGGTTGCTGGATAAATAGAGGGGCTAGAGTGGGCAGTGGGCAGCCCATACTGGTATTAGCTGACACTTGACAAAACCGCAGCCAATCTGCGCCCCCGCCCCGCCTCCCCCACACACTAGCATCCCACTCTGCTCCATTGGCCAAGACAAGAAGCCCAGAAATCACCAGCGATATTTGTGAAACACTTGGGCCCCACCCCTTGTGATTGCTGGAAAGGCTCCTCAACCGTGGCTTTGCCTTGTGCTGTGGAGGAGGGGGCTCTCTTTCAGAGCTGGAAAGGTGCTCTCAGCCTCAGGGAGACTGGTTCAGGGCCCTGCTGCCGCCAGCTCCCCGGGAAATACCCTCTGGTCTCCGAAATCGCAAAGTTGGTTTCTCTGAGCGCGAGGCTCAACATCTCAACTGTCGAGCAACAGGCGGGACGTTTGAGCCCCCGGAACCCCTAGAACGTTGCTACAAGAAAGGAGAAACGTCAGAATATCGAAACACCGGGAGGTGGCTAGGCGGAGGGGGAAGGCCTAGCAGCTAGGGGCCGGGCTAACCATGGCGGAGGGCGGGAAGGAGGAGGAGTTCTGCTTCACAGCGCTCTATATAAGTGGCCCGTGGCCAGGGCCTCGCGCTTGTGCTGACCTTCAAGCAGGCAGTCCCAGCGCAATGGCGCCTTCCAGGAAGTTCTTCGTTGGGGGCAACTGGAAGATGAACGGGAGGAAGAAGTGCCTGGGAGAACTCATTTGCACCCTGAACGCGGCCAAGGTGCCTGCAGACACCGGTGAGCTCCATTTGGGAGCGGCGGCGGCGGGGGTGGGGAGGGGGGTATCGGGCGTGGCAGCACCTACTCCCTATCCGAGTGGACCTGGAGGCTGGCCTGGGGACAGGGGCCATTTGGTGTCCGGGCAGCATAGAGATGTGCTGAGGGGGAAGACATTTAAATGGTGCCCTGGGCCTGTGGATCGGGAAAGGGCTTCTTGGGGTGGGGGCTGGGTGGAAGGTCGCCCCTACGAGTGGACCGGGGCTGCACTAGCTAGAGGCCACGGTTAAGAAGCGGAACCAGTGTCCGGGTGGATAATCAAGAAAAGTGGCACGTGTCCCCCAGAGTGTGGGGGAGGAAGCTGAGCTTGCGCGGGCTCTCAGCTACCTGCCCCCTCGGTCTCTAGATCCGTGCGTCTCCGCACGTAGCTCGAAACTCCTCCCCTCGCCGCGGCTCGCTCTGGCCTCTGAGCTGGGGGCTCCTACATCCCTACCCCTCCACAGCCTGGACTACTCCTGCCTTCCACCTTAGGGACTGAGCAGGCGCCAAACACGCTGAGCCCCTACATCCCTACCCCTCCACAGCCTGGACTACTCCTGCCTTCCACCTTAGGGACTGAGCAGGCGCCAAACACGCTGAGCCGTTTGGGAATGAAAAGCTATCCCACAGATCTCCTCAGTCTGGAAATAGGAAAACACAAGGTCTCTGAGAGCTCATCAACTCCCTGCTGCTCACGGATACTACCTATCCTCCATCCTTCCCCCTCCTACCCACCTAAATCAGAGAACCTTGAGAGTGACCAAAAGGGTATCGTCCACTCATTTATTTCCCAAAGAGCCAATACAAACTCCAGTAGTTGGCTTATTCTCCTTAGGCTAAACATCCTTGCCAGGTTGGAGTAGTGGGGTGGGCTATTTTAGAAAGGGTTGGCCCCCGGAGAATGCTGAGTCTAGGAGGTGCCCATTCCCAGAATAGCCTGAGGAAATTAGAGCCACAGCTGTTAAAAGAGCAGAGGGCAGGTTAAGGGCTGGGGCCTAACAGGAGCATTAGGGAGGCTGTGGGTACAGGCCCAGCCTGGACTGTGTAGTGGACAAAGGTCATCTTTCTGGAATGAAAAAGGCAGGAGGATAGAAGCAAGAGGGTGAAGGCCTGACAGCGAGCCCGGAGAATGAAGGCTTTCTTTGATTTCATTCTCAGAGGTGGTTTGTGCACCCCCCACCGCCTACATCGACTTCGCCAGGCAGAAGCTAGATCCCAAGATTGCTGTGGCTGCGCAGAACTGCTACAAAGTGACCAATGGGGCCTTCACTGGGGAGATCAGGTGGAGTGATCTGGAGGTAGAGAGGGGTGTAGAGGGAAACTTCCTTGGAGGCTCCTTGCTGAACCTTGGTGTTTCTGTCTGTTTTAGCCCTGGCATGATCAAAGATTTAGGAGCCACATGGGTAGTGCTGGGTCACTCGGAGAGGAGGCACGTCTTCGGGGAGTCCGATGAGGTCAGTAAGCAGGAGGGGAGGTAGGAGAGGCACTTTCATCGAGAGGGATGTCTCACTGTATTTGTTCAACAGCTGATTGGGCAGAAAGTGGCCCACGCCCTGGCCGAGGGCCTTGGAGTGATCGCCTGCATTGGGGAGAAGTTAGATGAGAGGGAAGCTGGCATCACCGAGAAGGTTGTTTTCGAGCAAACCAAAGTCATCGCAGGTACCTCTGGAGAAAGGGACCTTTGAGCCTAGCAAGGGCCCCAGAGCTGGGGTCTGGAGGTCAGAGACCCTGCAGCCTGCCTGATTATGTTGAGGCAGGAAAAGCGGGTGGGCTTTGTCACTTCTGTTCCTTCAGAAGCCACTAGGGGCTGCTGAGATGCTCTGTGGGTAAGGGGGCTTACTGCCAAGCGAGGATCTGTGTGATCCCCCAAACGCACATGGTAGGAGAGAACCAACTCCTGCAAGTTGTCCTCTGGCCTCCATATGTGCGCGCGCGCACACACACACACACACACACACAAGCAAATTGTTTTTAAAAAATGGATAGGGAAAAAGAGCCCACCAGGGGCTGTAGGTCATTACTGTTACACCCTGGCGAGCTTGGCTGGGCAACTCCTTCCTCTTCACTGTTCTCTTCCTGATCTCTGTCCTGCAGATAACGTGAAGGACTGGAACAAAGTTGTTCTGGCCTATGAACCTGTCTGGGCCATTGGTACCGGCAAGACTGCGACACCTCAACAGGTAACTAACTGCCCAGGAGCCACAGGGGCCCCCAGACTCAAGAAGAGTGACTTGCCAAGAATGTTCACTCGGCCTGGCTGGGATTGGAGCATTGCTATTCTCTGGCCCCAGGGCTTTTCCCGAAACTAAACGTCCAAGCACCAGTGTGTGTGTGTGTGTGTGTGTGTGTGTGTGTGTGTGTTTTCTCTTTGAATGAACAGGAAGGGTTTTATTTAATCTGCCTCCTCTTTCTAGGCCCAGGAAGTACACGAGAAGCTTCGGGGGTGGCTGAAATCCAATGTTTCTGATGCGGTGGCTCAAAGCACCCGAATCATTTATGGAGGTGAGTGGGTTTGGCTCCAGCCAAGGTAGAAATGGGCTAAGACAGACTGAGGCCCCCCAGAGAGGTGGGGCTTAAGTGTACTAATCCTATCCCTGACCAAGCCATCTTCCTGTTCCTGTTTCTGTTACAGGTTCTGTGACTGGAGCAACCTGCAAAGAGCTGGCAAGCCAGCCTGATGTGGACGGCTTCCTCGTGGGCGGTGCTTCTCTCAAGCCTGAATTTGTGGACATCATCAATGCCAAACAATAAGCACCATCGGTCTCCCCAACCCTTCACTAGGCCAGGACTAGGTCACCCAGAAGCTTAGTAACTGTTCCCACCAGACACATGCTTCTGATGTCATCTGTTCCATCTTGTGTCCTAATCCACACTGTACCTTCCTGAACCTTGTACACCTCCCTATAATGGTTGGGACCAGGCCAATCCCTTTACCACTTACAATGGTTAGAATGAAATACGTCACCTAGTTCACCAAGATGGCTTCCTGGCTGGGGGGTGGATGGAAAGAGTGGAACTGACTGTCCCTTCAGGCCCTAGCAAGGGCAAGAGAGTGAAATCACCTTCCTTTCCCTTCTCAGCGTATACCAAGGCTAAGGTCCTCTTGCTCTAGGAGGCCGGGGATGTTCCCCTCCCCCACAGTGCCGCCCTCGTATTGTATTTGTGAACCATCTTACATGTAAGGGAAATAAACACCTGGCCCTGAGCTTGTAGTTGGTCATCATCTTTGCACGTTTCCATGTAATTTCCCAGTGACAGGACTACGGGGGGCGGGTGGAACAAAAACCAAACAGGCGCTGTGACAATACATCTCGTTTTTTACTTGACAGACATCTTTGCACCAGGCTGCCACAGCCTTTGCGGTCTCTTCCTTGTCTTGCCCCTCTCTAAGGGTGAGTGAAGGGGCCCAGCCTCTCCTCCCCTCAGCTTCACTGGCTTTTCTGTTGTTTGTCTAGGCCGATGGTGCCTCTCCACCTGTCCCCACCGTACTGACGATGGCCAGGTGCCAGCACAATCTGGTGCTCCAGGGTCATTTGTAGAGCAGGTAGCGCTTCATGGCAGGGGGCAAAGGCAGAGTGGATATTTGGCCAAGCCGGGTATCTCCCAGCGCGTGGCGCACACACAGGCGGCTCAGGTGCAGAAGGGATTGTGGTTCCTCTGCTGAGAGAGAAGAAAGGCAAGGTCAGTAGACGTGCAACTCCAGCCAGACATCCTCAAACTCCTGAGTCCTGCTCAAGCTCCCTCATTTCTTCAATTCTGCCTCCGCCTGAGAGAGGAGATCTTAGATTCTGGATTTCTGCATCACACATCCAGTAAGGCCTGAGTGAAGCTAGAGCCAAGGCCATCTAAGTGACAAGCCAAATGATATGAAGTGATATGAAGCCCCCTTTCTGTGGTCCAAGCATGAGTTTCCACCCCAAACCGTTGCCACCTAGTCCGGGTCTCACCTCTTCTTTCGCCCATGTAGTGGATGCGGACCTGGCACTGGCCCCAGACAGCGCTTACAGAGGGGTAGAGGGTCCTGCCCTTCAGACCATGGAAGGCTGGCCCCAGGTAGGTGCCCCCAACAGAGTAGCCCAGAGTCCCCTCCTCCATGTCGAGAACCACCAGAAGTCTCTCTGGCACCACCAGCTGCTCACCCTGAGGTCCAGCAGGGTACTGGCGGGCCTCAAGGCCCTTACTCTGATGATACAATTTTCCCCGCCCAATATCCCAGCCCCAAGACTCGCTGTTGCTGCCCAAAAGCGCCGCATAGTGGTCAACCTGCAGCGGGGCGAGGGCAGTGGCCACGCCCACCACAGCGTGTGTGCCCCTCTGCTCCAGGGGCCAGCTGATCTCCCAGGCATGCAGGCCCCTCGAGTAACCCCTCTTCCCCCGGACCCCATCAGTGCTTTGGGCCACAGGGCGCCGCTCAAAGCACAGCCCCCCTTCCTTGACATCGATGTTCTCGGAGCAGTCCTTGGGATTCCAGCCGTGGCGTCGCTGGGCTCCTAGGTCAGGAGGGGGAGCAGACAGGAGCTCCTCCAAGCCCTCCGGAGGAGAAAAGTCAGAGTACAGAGCCTGCGAGGTGGGGGTGCTGCTGCTGCCCCTTGCAAGGGCCGTCTGGCCCATGAGGTGAGCCGCTGATGGGATCCTCGAAACAGGCTTGCTGGGGCGTCTCTCTTCCGAAACTTGAGCTCCGGATCGTCCCCTGGAGCGGCGTGGGAAGAAAAGTGTGAGGCGCAGCATCTTTCCCTAGCGTTCCCGTCATCTGTTCACCCGTGTGTGCCAACCAGCCTGCTCTTGGTCCCCTAACCCTCCTGGGCCCATCACTCTGCTTTCACACCATCTGTGCCGCGCCCCCCAACTTTCTCACGAGTTCGCCCCTCCGACCACACCATGGACCATCCCCCTTGCCGTCCCTAACACCCGCCCTCTCTCCCGCACCTCGCTGGGCTCCCCAGCCCGCAGGGACCTCGGCCGAAGCACCCAGATAGGCAGGCTAGGCGCGCCCCTGACCCGAGACTGCTTCCGGCTCCAGCGGGGACGCTGGACGCCCGGTGGCCCGCGCTCCGCCCCCGGGCTCGGTCGGTGGTTAACCCTCTCGTCACCACCCAGACCACGCCCGCCACGCCACGCCCCCCGTGGGAACCTCACCCGCTGCAAGAAATCGAGGCGAAGAATCTGTGGTGATGCCAGTCGTGGACAGGCGCGCATGCTTTGTGGAGCCTACTGTGGGTGGGTAACCTCTTGTCCCTTCCCAGGACTCGATCTTCCCCTACGTGAAACTCTTCACCGCAGTTAATCTTTCCGACGCCACCTGACAGCTGCGTGTCCCGCCCCCCGCCCCCCCCCCCCCCCGCGTCCCTGTCTAGAATTAACCCTTTGATGACATCATCGCCTTGGATTCTCTATGGAGAGTGTCCTCTCCACTGGAGACCTTTGTGCTGCCTGGTCGAGTCATTCCTGAGGCCCTAAGAGTAAGAGGCATTGGCATCCTTCCTGAACTACTGCTCCCATTCCGTAGACCGCAGGGGCTATGTTTGTTCCCTGAGTCTCCTATGTGGCCGAAATGACAGCCATTCATTCTTCTGCCTCAGCCTCCTGAGTAATGTAGACTACTAGTGGGCACATCTTCTAGTGGATATGCTTCAAGGGTTAGTTTTGAGTAAAGCTAGATCACTAGCTGCATTATCATGGGGGAGGTTGCCATTGACCTCCTCCAACGTCTATTGATAACAGTTCAAATATTCCATAATGCTACAGGTAATTTTAACTCGTGTGTGTGTGTGTGTGTGTGTGTGTGTGTGTGTGTGTGTGTGTGTGTGTGAGAGAGAGAGAGAGAGAGAGAGAGAGAGAGAGAGAGAGAGAGAGAGAGAGAGACACTCTGTGACCTTGGCTGGCCTAGAACTCTCTGCCTCCTAAACGTTGGAATTAAAGGTGTGTACCACCATGCCTGTCCTAATTCTTTTTTTTTTTTTTTTCGTTATTGTTTGGTTGGTTTTGAAATGGTGTCTTGTAGCCCATGCTAGGACAAAACTAGCCATGTAGCCAAGAGCTGGCCTTGGATTCCTTCTCCTCTTAGCTCCACTTTCAAGTACTTGGATTATAAGGGTATGAGTCACATATGGCTAATTTTAACTTTTTAAAATTCAGATGTGGAGCTGCTGAGATGGCTCAGTAGTTAAGAGCACTGGCTGCGAGTACCTAGTTCAGGTTCCAGCACCCACATAGCAGTTCACAACCATCCATAAATTCCAGTTCCAGGGGAACTGATGCTTTCTTTTGACTTCCACACAAATGTGGCACAGACACACATTCACGGGAAATAACTATACATGTAAAATAAAATAATTTTTTTTTCAAGACAGGGTTTCTCTGTGTAGTCCTGGCCATCCTGGAACTCTCTCTGTAGACCAGGCTGGCCTCCAACTCAGAGATCTGACTGCCTCTGCTTCCTGAGTGCTGGGATTAAAAGGCATATACCACCACCACATGGCAAAACAAAATAATCTTAAATAAAATCTGGATGTAAAAATATGCTATCCTAAGTGGCCCAATTATATGTGATTGTTTTCTTTTGGATGCCTTTAAGAAAAAATTTTTTTTTGAACGAGATCAGGGTTTGTAGCTCTGTAGAACACACTGCCAAGTAGGCCTGAAAGAAGATGTATAGTTGTTTGTTGTTGTTTTGTTTTTATTCTTTGCTCTTTTGGGGGGCCTGCCACCTAGCTCCAAATAAATCATACACAGAGACTTTTTCTTTCTTATAAATGCTCGACCTTAGTTTGGCTTGTTTCTGGTCAGCTTTTCTTAAATTATCCTGTCTATCTTTTACCTCTAAGCTTTTCCCTGTCTCTATTTCGGCAAATCTTTCTTTCTTACTCCTTGGTTGGCTGTGTGGCTAGGTGGCTCGTGCCTTCTTTTCTTGCTCCTGTCTCTCTTGCTCCTTCCAGATAGCTCCTATTTATTCTCTCTGCCTGCCAGCCCCGCCTATCCTTTCTCCTGCCTCGCTATTGGCAGTTCAGCTCTTTATTAGATCATCAGGTGTTTTTAGGCAGGCACAGTAACACAGTTTCACAGAGTTAAACAAATGCAACATAAAAGAATGCAACACATCTTTGCATCATTAAACAAATGTTCCATAGCATAAACAAATGTAACACATCTAAAATAATATCCCACAACAAAGATGGAAGGTCATTAGTTGCTTTTCAATCAAGGCTTTAGTTTCAAGTTGAGAAATAGAAACACAGTTGGACATTTTCCCCAGGAAGATACCTCATTCGTTCTGGAAGACAGCCCTTTCACCAATGACTCTAATAGCACGAGATGCATCTTGTTGCCTGTTCCCCCAGACGTAGCCTCACTAACAGTCTGCATGTTTTGCAGGTTGAAGTAGTTTCTAAAACTGTGAGTTCATCCTTGGCTAGTCTTGAACTTCCATCCAAAGGCAGACTTAAGTCAGAACCTTTAACAAAAGAAGATTTCATTTTCTGTGTATGAGTTTTTTTTTTTTTTTTTTTTGGTTTTTCGAGACAGGGTTTCTCTGTGTAGCTTTGCGCCTTTCCTGGAACTCACTTGGTAGTCCAGGCTGGCCTCGAACTCACAGAGATCCGCCTGGCTCTGCCTCCCAAGTGCTGGGATTAAAGGCGTGCGCCACCACTGCCCGGCGAGTTTTTTTTATTGAGTGCAAGCATGCATGTATGAATGTGTACCATATACTTTCTTGGTGTCCAAGGAAGCCAGAGGAGGACACAAGGTCCTCTGGAACTGGAGTTAGAGGTAGTTGTGAACCACTGTGTGGGTGCTGGGAACCAAACTCTTGTCCTCTGAAAGAGTGCCAGGGGCTCTTAACCTGCGAGCCATCTCTCCAGCCTGAAGGCAAAACCTTCATTTTCTGTTAGTATTGGGGAATGTATCCAGAGCCTCGTGTATCCAGACCATACTCTACTACTGAGCTACAGGCCCGCCCTGAATCAGAGTGTGTTCTTGACTTTTGATGTAGCCTTGTATTTCGACTGCTGAGCATTTTCTGGTTCATGTCTTCCAGTGATAAATCTAAACGGCTTTGGATTTGGGTTGGTTTGGGTTTCATTGTTGTTTGCTTTTTAATTTTTAAAATTACATTTATTTTTGTGTGGATGTGGTTGTGTGTGACAGTGTGTAATGTGTGTGGAGGTCACTGGATAACTTTCTGGTATCAGCTCTTTGCTTCCACCATGTGAGTCCCGGAGGTGAATCCAGGCAGTCAAGCGTGGCAGCAAGTGTCCTTTTTTTGAACATAAAAAAACTGCAAATATCTTCTCTGTAGAAAATAGTAAAAATGATAACATTTCCCAATAAGCCCTTTTATTAAGCCCAAATAATAGCTGGATTATACATATAAATATTGTTTAGATTCTGGGATACAGAAGAAACCTATCTTCATCTGTTCAGAGAGCTGTTTTACTTAAGTTGTGTAAGTGAGATTCCTATTCATCCTCCCCTTCACTGTTTGATTTATGGCAGACATTTTTCTATAGGTCAATCCATAATCTAAAAAGATTTTAGCTTCCCCTCCTGAAAGTACAGCCAGCATTTTCTTTCATCAGTTTGATACAGTACAAATTCTTACCCTAATAGTGAAATGTTTCACTAAATCTTGCCCAGTGATTGGGCAAAACCAAAACTTTATTATAAACCACAGTCGTCCTAGGGTCCCCCCTGCTAGGTAGCCTCCCTGGTTCTACGGGTTACAGTCTGATTGTCCTTTGCTTTATATCTAGTATCCACTTATGAGTGAATACATACCATGTTTGTCCTTCTGGGTTTGGGTTACCTCACTCAGGATGATATATTCTAGTTCCATCTATTTGCCTGCAAATTTCATGATGTCGTTTTTCTCTGCTGAGTAGTACTCCATTGTGTATATGTACCACATTTTATTTATCCATTTTTCAGTTGATGGGCATCTAGGTTGTTTCCAGGTTCTGGCTATTACAAATAATGGGCAGCAAGTGTCTTTACCAAGAGAACCATCTTGCAGCCTCTGTGTGTGTTGTTTTAATGTATATGGGTGTTTTGCTTGCATGTATGTCTGTGCACCATATGTGTGCAGTGCCTATAGAGACCAGAAGAAGGTGTTGGATCCCCTGGGACTAGGGATATAGATGGTTGTGAGCCACCATGTAGGTACTGAGAATGGAAAATGGGTCTGCTGGAAGAGCAGCTAGTATTCTTAATCACTGAACTGTCTTTCTAGACCTTAATTTTTTGTTTGCTTGTTTGATTTTTTTTGAGTCAGCATCACATGTAGCCCAGGTTGGCCTTCAGCTAGTATGTAGCCAAGGATAACCTTAAACTCCTGATCTTCCTCCAAGTGCTGGGATTACAAGCATGTCCCACGATGCTGTGCTGCCAATTTTCTCTAAAGATGAATCGCTTGATTTTTGGTGGAACTGTAGTAACTTTAGAATTGGATGACCCAGTTTCACAAATTTCTTTAATTGCATTTATTTTTGTTTGGGGAACACTTGTGAAGGTCAAAGGGCAACTGTGTGGGTGCCAAGAATCACACTCAAGTCATCTAGACTCCGCCGCAGGTGCCCTTTATCTGTTGAGTCACCTGGCTGGTCCACTTTTACAAATTTCTTGAATACACATGTGCTGATGTCTTGAAGTCATATTTAGATACCACATATATGATATATATTTAAATCCCATACATATACACATGCATATGTACATATGAAAATGTATATATATGCACGCGTATATGTATATGCATACACATATGTATTAAAACATATATACATACATATACATATGAAGTGGGAGCTATTGGCCCTTGTTTAGTAAGTGAGCTTCTCTTCCAGATTGGAAAGAGTGTTTCTTTGCTCGGGTGACAAGTGGGTGGACTGCCTTCAGATGGGTCCTATTGTATGGAAACAAGGTACCTTAAAGCACTATAACTTAAATGAAGAAACAAACAAACAAAACACCGAAACCACATCTAGCCTTGGGCCCCACTGGGCTCAGCAGAACACAGATCAGTTTCCGTCTTACAAGATGGCCAAGTTCTGCCCCATTTAACCAGACCGTTGTTGAGTTCACGTTCAATGTCTGTGATAGAACTGGACCTGTCTTATTCTCACGACCAATGACTCCAGTTCTCACAGACTCACGCCGAAGGTTGAGACATGTTTAACTTGGGGACCGGAACATTTGCTGAGAGACAGGGAAGCTGCATCAACGAAATTTCAACAGCATGGTTGCCTAAACCAGGTCTGAACTATGACAACACTACCCGACATGCCAAGGAGGCAAGGGAAAACCTTACAAGGCCCCACCCCTAGAGGAAGAGCTAAAGGCAATTGATGGCTGCTGAAAGAGTCAGTCTTCCCCAGAGATGAGCCCTCTCCTTGGGTTATCCAACACCAAATGGTCAGTTCTAAAAACATATACATACGAGCAACACTACATGAACTCAGCAGGTTGTATTTATACGTTTATCTGTACCAACAATTAAAAAGAAATAGTATTATATAACATGTAAAACAAAACAGAAAGGCTCAAACCCGAAAGGGAAGCCTATTTTCCAAACTCACCAATGAGGATGAAATGGTTACTGGGCTGAGGTTGAGAAACCTGGATTACTGGCCGCCCGCAGGCCCCGCCTCCGGCTCCGGTCCCGCCCCCCGCCCCGGTGCTAGTCCCGTAACCATGGCAACGCACTGGCAGGCTGGGGGTGGGAAAGCTGACTCACTCGGGCTGACGGTCACGTGCGTGGGCGCACAGTGTGCGCTCCGGCGGCCGGGGGGTCTCGCCAGTCCTCAGCTAGCTCCAGAAGTCAGCCACCTCGAGCCCTCCCCAGAACTGCTGCTGCTCGGGCTTAGGGCGTTAACACTCAGGTCTGGAATGTTCCACCAGAGGAAACCTGGGTGGGGAGGGGTCGAAAGCTAGGGAAGGCCTTTTGGAGGAGAGCTGACCAAGGAAAGCCAGAGAGGTGAGCAGGGGTAAGAATAAGCCTGGTGTGGTGACGCACGCCTGTAATTTAGCTATTTGGATGACCAGAAGGATGATGGAGAGCTTGCAGCCAGCCAGGGATCTATACCAAGACCTTAGCTAAAAACAGAACCGAGTCATGCGAGGTGGCGCACGCCTTTTGTCCCAGCACTTGAGAGGCAGGTGGATTTCTGTGAGTTCGAGGCCAGACTGGTCTACAGAGCCAGTTCCAGGACAGCCAGGGCTACGCAGAGAAACTCTGTCTCGAAAAAAACAAAAATAAATAAAAAACAAAACAGACCCAGACAGAAGAGTTTTTAACTGCAAACCAGAGAAAGCTTGGATACAGGGAGAACCGAACCTGGACCCAGGGTGGGACAAAGGGAGATTTAGGAGAATGCCTTAAGTGAAGCTTCCCTGCCCCAGTGTGTTTTGAAGACTCCATTGTGGCAGCCCTGATAAAATGTTTCCTTGCTCTTCATCTGCTGACCTTCCTGCTGTAAGGATTCTCCACAGGCATTTTTTTCCCCTCCACAGGTCTGAAGTAGGAGACAGCTCAGTTTGTGTTAGAAAGCTCAGTATTAGCAGGGATGGCAGATCAGTGGGAGGGGCTTGTCTAGCATATACTAGACCTTGGATTTGAATAAACCTGGAAAAAAAAAACTCCTCAGGGGAAGGTCTCAGGAGACGCCCACCTTCCTTGAGAATTTTTTTTTATTTTTATTTTTTTTTAAAGATTTTATTTATTAATTATGTATACAGTGTTCTGTCTGCACGTGTACCTTGCAGGTCTGAAGAGGGCACCAGATCTCATTGCAGGTGGTTGTGAGCCACCATGTGGTTGCTGGGAATTGAACTCAGGACCTCTAGAAGAGCAGTCGGTGCTCTTAACCACTGAGCCATCCCTCCAGCCCCCTTCCTTGAGAATTTATAGGCAGTTAATGCTGGGAAAGGGAGAAAGGCTTCTTCTGTGGTGTAGACTTCGGTAAATGCCAATTTGGTAAATGCCAATGCCCCTTTAATAATCCCTCACAAATATTCCTGTAAATAACCCTAAGGAAACTCATTAGATCAACAACTGCTCAAATTGTCAAGTATAAAGGAACACATCCATTACAACAGCCACACCCTCTTAAAGTCTGCCAACTCTACCAAGATTAGTCACCAAAAACCTTAATTTACCCAATAAAATACTTTGTAATCTTAGCACTGAAGAGTCATAGGCAAGGGGACCAAGATATAACTGGAGTACCCTGTCTCAACAGTGATGACTGAAATGCTCAGGTTTCTCCTACCCTTGACGTTCTTCAGGGTCTCTATTTCCTTCTGATGGATCCTGACTGGGATGCCTTGCAGGCTTGCCATTTCATCAAGAAGAGGGAGGAGTGTTTTGTTAGTAAGAGCACATCCAAATGGGAGGGTTTTCAGTGATTACTTTTTCAAAGCACGGCAAAGTGGCTGAAAAGATGGCTCAACCTCTAAGAGCTCTGGCTACTCTTCCAGAGGACCAGGGTTTGATTCCCAGCACCCATATGGCAGCTCACAACCATCTGTAACTCCAGTTCCAGAGGATCTGATGCCCTCTTCTGGCTTCAGTGGGCAATAGGAACATACTGAAGGGGCTCATGGGGCAAATAAATCTCCTTTGTGCTGAGAACTTGGTCTTGGGTGTCTTGTGCTGACTTTGAGGTCCCTTTTACATATATGGTATAGATATATGTAGGTAAAACATCCAAACACATTTTTAAAAATAATTAAACTCATTAACCATGTTAAAAAGCCAACCCTGGTGCAGATAGGCGATCCTAGGAGAATAAAATGTGAGTCTGGGCTACAGTCTGGCAATTTAGTGAGACTTTGTTTCAAAACAAGAAAGGGAGCAGGGCCAGGTGTTGTGGTACACACACTTAATCCCAACAGTCCAGAGGCAAGTAGATCGCAATGCATTTGAAGCCAGCCTGATCTATACAGCAAGTTCCCGGACAGCCGGGACTGTAGAGTGAGACCCTGGAGAGAGAGAAAGAGACAGAGCACATGTAGCTCACTGGTAGAACACACTTACCTAGCATATGCAAGGCTCTAGTTCACTCTCTAATATCTCCTTCCCCTTGGGTGACAAAGTTTTCCTGGGAAGATGCAACACGCATCTACTCACTCCAGATAGGGAACCCATGACAGTCCAAAGTGTGACTACCATCAAAGTCCAATTTAGTAAACCAATGTGTTTTATTGGGGGTTACAAGAGCAGACATGACCCAAAGACAGCATGGGTGACTGCTCTCAAAGCTGGGAACCTGGGGTACACTGCACAGCCTGCAGGCAGCTCAACAGGTTCAAGAGTGTCCTTCCCAGGTCCTCAGTTGGTCTAAACCAGGCAGCTGGCTAGTCTCAAGAGTCTTCTTCGCAGCTCATCTTTTTTCTTCATCTGAGGAGGACTCTCAGCTTTTATAGTTTAGTCTGGCAGAGCGGGCACAATGAATCTGGTCAGTTTCAGGGACTTCCTGGAGCTATTTTGAGTTGTATACATTCTTGCCCAAGGAGCTTCCTTGCTGGATAAAATGTTTCAATCAGAGGAAACTGTTACAGAACACCCCTTGGGGAGGAGGGAGGAAGGCGGTGTGGTAGCACAGCTGTAATCTCAGCAATTAGAAGTCCAATCTCAGCAATTAGAAGTCCAAGCAGGGCCGGGCGGTGGTGGCGCACGCCTTTAATCCCAGCACTCAGGAGGCAGAGCCAGGTGGATCCTTGTGAGTTCGAGGCCAGCCTGGGCTACCGAGTGAGTTCCAGGAAAGGCGCAAAGCTACACAGAGAGACCCTGTCTCGAAAAACCAAAAAGAAAAAGAGAAAAGAAAAAATGAGAAAAGGATGAAACCTGGTACCAACAAGGAGAAGTCGTTTCCCAGGAGGATTTCAGCACTTCTGCCAAGCTGTCTGGCCGCCTTGCAGAAGCATCCGAGCAGAGACATTGATGACCAGTTTGGCTATGCATACTTAGTGTTCTAGCTATAATCCTCTTGTCAGGACCTCAAAGACTAATTTGAGACTGGGAACCTGGACCTCTTCATTTACTCTTCCCAACATGGCAACATTGAAACAAAGCTTTCTCTGTGTTTCATTATTACTGTCAGTGGTAGAGCCCAGCCTGCTCAGGGTCCCAACTAACAATAATAAACTTACTGTAACCTCCATTTTTTGTTTTTTGAGACAGGGTTTCTCTTTGTAGCCCTGGCTGTCCTGGAACTCAGTCTGTAGACCAGGCTGGCCTTGAACTCACAGAGATCCGCCTGCCTCTGCCTCTTGAGTGCTGGGATTAAAGGTGTGCACCACCACTGCCTGGCTTGTAGTCTGTGTTCTTGAGGTGGTTTGCCTTCATTGTCTCTGTATAGTGGAAATGCTGTCACAATATGTTATCACACATTCTCCCCGCTCCATGTTCAGTTACAGTTTTAAATTAGCCGTTTTTACACCACACACTCACAAACCGGAAAGCGCCTAAAAACAAGTTTCTGTTCTTTTTGTGGTGTGATTGATGTTAGACTTCGTCTCAGTTACTGTTCTATTGCTGTGCAGACACCATGACCAAGGCACTTTACAGAAGAAAGAGTTTAACTGAGGACTCAGGGTTCCAGAGGGTTGGAGTCTGTGACTACGTGGCTGGGCCCGTGGCAGCAGGCAGGCACTGGAACAGAGACTGGAGAGCTTATATCCTGATCCACACACACAAGATGACAGTAGGCAGGGGCAGAAAGAGCTAACTGGAAATGATGAGTTTTGAAAGCTCAAAGTCCACCCCAGTGATGGATCTCCTCCAACAGGCCCACACCTCCTGCTTTTCATCAACCAGAGACCAGACATTCAATCTGTGAGCCTATGGGGCCATTCTCATTCAAATCACCACAGACTTTGTGTATTTATCTATTTATGAATAGGCTCTGACTGTATAGAGCAGACTAGCCTAAAACTAATTAATTAACTAATTAATTAATTTTTGGATTTTTGACCACTGTAAACCAGCCTCAAACTATTTAAGTAATTAATTAGTTAATTAAGTTTTGGGATTTTGAGACAGTTTTTCTACATAATCCTGGATGTCCTAGAACTCACTATATAGACTAGGCCATCCTTGAACTCATAGAGATCTACATGCCTCTGCCTCTCGAGTGCTGGATTTAAAGGTGTGCACCACCATGCCCAGCTCCCTCAAATTATTTTTGTAAGGGTGTTGAAGAGAATGACTTGGCAGTTAAGAGTACTTGTTGTTCTTGTCAAATTAAAATTGAATGAACTTGCATTTTGGAGGCAGAGGCAGGTGGATTTCTGTGAGTTCGAGGCCAGACTGGTCTACAAAGCGAGTTCCAGGACAGTCAGAGCTACACAGAGAAACCTTGTCTCAGAAAACAAAAAAACAAACAGTCAAAAACAATAGAGTGAACTGTGGCTGGTAGAAATACAAAGAAGGTCTTCTAAGAATCAATGGTTTGCAGATAGGCACATCAAGATACTTTGCAATGAGACTTTGATCTCATGCTGTTCCCAGTCCAGAGAACATAGGCAGTTGGGTGTGGCACTGCACATCTGTAATCCAGGATATATGAGGTGGAGGCTGGAGGACCAGCTGTATGAGGTCAGCCTTGGCTTGTGAGCCCCAAGCACCACCACCAAAAAGTAGCCAGATATACAGAGTACCTTTGGGAAGCCCCAGGGCACAGCTGCCAGGTCAAGTCCACATGATTGAAGAGTGTGATGAAAGCCCTAGACAGGCAACTGCGCATAATGCCAGGTGGAAGCAGGAAGATCAAGAGTTCAAGGTTAGCAGGGTGGTGGTAGCGCACACCTTTGGTCCCAGCACTTGGGAGGCAGAGACAAGTAGATCTCTGTGAGTTCCAGGCTAGCCTGGTCTACAGAGCAAGTTCCAGGACAGCTAAGGCTACATAGAGAAACCCTGTTTAAAAAAAGAAGTTCAAGGTTAGGGCTAGGGAGATGACTCAGTGGTTAAGGGCATTTCTTGCAGAGGACCAGGGTTTAGTTTCCAACACCCATATGGAGCCTCATAACTTCCTGTAACTTCAGTTCCAGGGAAACCAATGCCCTCTTATGACCTCCTCGGACACCAGACACACATGTGGTGCATGACAGATATGCAAGCAAACATTCATACACAGAAAAATAAATAATCTAAAAAAATAAAGTTCAAGGTTATTCTCAGCTACATAGCAAATGTGTATAGTGAATTTGAGACCGACTTCAGGTACATGAGACCCTTAATAAAAAAAAAGCCCTACATATGGCCAAGTCCACTAGTCTCCAGAAAATAGATCGGATATACTCCCCTGGACAAGTGGCCCCCGACAAGTGATGCGTCCTTCCTGCAGCTCTGAGGGTTTCCACCATGTTGCTGCCTCCTTAGCCACATTCAGTATTGAATCCTACCTCCTAAAAGAAAGGAAAAGTAAACCTAACTCCCTTTCTCTTGAACAGAGGCAAGACTCAGAGAGACACTTCCAAAAATACACTACCTCTCACTAGACTTCCCTTGCTGTGCAGAAGTGTGATTTAAAATATAATGGAACGTGTATGGGCTGGTAAGACTCTAAAAACAGTCCTTTCAGTGGTTGATTTATCTGGCCTTATCCACCTTTTTCATATTTTTT